AAAGACGTTTGCACCATGGACCCAGAGGTCTCCTGCAAACCACCACACAAGTAAACAAGTAAGTAAGTACTTAACATGGTAGTTAAAATACCTGTAAATCCTAGGAGCTGCAATCCTTCCAAATCCAATAAGCCCTGCCATTTTCTCTCCTAAAAATACATAAAATGAAATGTGTATTTTATATCATGCACAAACCAATTAAAGGGAGTGTTCACGAATAGTGAAAGGGGGTATTACGTCGAATTAAATTTCAAATCGATAGCTATTATTTGTACTTCTATCTACTGCGTCAAAAAGGAGGAAATTATTAAAAACGATTCAAAATTTCAGAAATGAATATTCTAAAAGTAACACTCGGATCACATATAAAATAAAAAATTATGAAATTTTAACTATATTGGAATGCATCGAATTAAATTCGAAAATTGGTGGTTGTATACTGAATGATTAATTTAAAAGTTAATTGAATTATTTACGATCTGAGTGGAATATAATGCAACTCCATAAATTCGTATGGACGATCACACTCCTGCGTATAAGATAGTTTTGAAATTTAATTGTCATGCTTTCAAAACATTGGAAAATTACCCCTAGACTTTTTAGGTGTACAATAATATTTCCCTAAACGAATGTTCGGGTCCTGTCCTAGAGAACGATTTTTTGGTCCAAAAATCGTTCACTAGGACAGACCCCAACCCCGCAAATTGTGTGCATGAAACTAATAGCAACATTAAAATTTTCGAAAAAAAGACATTTTAACTTAGGTATTTTTTTCGGATCACACACAAATAAAGTTAATAATCACTGGGGTATTTTAACTGGATAATAGCTGCGTTTTTTCTGCAAATTTCCAAGCGTATAGGTCTTACTTTGAGTTTAAATCAAGATAAACAGACTGAACAAATTCTAGACAAACAGCTTTCTCAGGAATCAGCTGATAGAATGCCCCGGTCGCAAATACTCACAGTACATCTACACGTATAGATATTCTTCACATAAAAATAAATAGCTTTATTAATCTTTAAATATAAATCAATTATTTGTACTAGATGACTTTTAGGTATTCTTCACATAAAAATTAATAGCTTTCTTAATCTTTAAATTTAATTCACATATTTGTACTCAATGACCTTTAGATGCGACCGGTGTGATGCCTGGAGAGAACTCGTACCTGCAGCGAACTCTGGTTATGCTACGCGGCAAAGCGCAAGATTCTTTAAACATAAACAAACACTTGAATTTATGGAACGGATTTGTTTCAGTCACCGGACGCCTGATATTTTGAGCATGCCACATTTCATTTTATTCGTAACTGCCTTAGCAACAGCATTTCTCAATTTGAGGTTTNGGGGGGGGGAGGCGAACCGCACTCGTATAGCCTCCATCTCCTCCATCCTGCAATAATTATTCACTTAAACACAGAGTTGCGGCAACGCGCTCACCCGTAGAACTTCTTTTCTGAATTCTTTTCTATTAATTTTTTTATGCATAGGGTAGGGTGGAGGACGTTAAACGGCGGGTCGGTGTTTCAAAAAAAACTTAATCTTAAACTTAGTCTTTAATTGCTATCTTCTTCACCCTGTAATTCATAAACATGATTCTAATATTGTATGTTACCCTCTGTTACAACCATCACGCTGAATATACCCACCCTTTCCTTTATACTTTTTCACCCCCTCCTTACCTTACTCATGCTTTATCATCATTGTTTTGTTTAAAATGTACACTGTATACAGTGTACATCCATCTATTTCTATTCTATATATTCTTTTTCGCTTATAATGGGCCAACCAATCAAAACAACCAACTCTGGTTAGGCGGGTCCAAACTACATAGTAAATTGTGATTTATTATTTGTATTATCTCAAGCTTTGTAGTTGAATAAAAATATGAATGAATGAGAAATGGTTAATAAATATATTTATTGATTAAGCTACCTCTAGGAGCTTAGACTTATTTTTTGAAAAGCCCTCGAAAAATGGATGTAATAACATGTGTCATGAATTAATATTTGTTAAAAGTAAAAATAACTATTTTTGGAAAAAATTTTCTACAAGCTTTTTGAACTTTAAAACTCCTCCCTTGTTACCTCCCTCACCATTAAAGTATAAGAGGTCTAATTTTTTTTTTAACAAGCAGGCCTTGAAAAGTTGGACTATAGGGACATGATTCACACCCCGGTCCCCTATCTCAACTCTAAGGGCAAAATCATAGGAGTGGGGGTGGAAAACACCCCCCCCCCCCATCAAATATTCAGTTATCTAAATTTAACCACCCCCAAGAAATATGATCACTCTATTGGCCAATTTCTTAGACGCTCTACCATAGGTAGAACCATAGTCACACTATGGTTACGCTTTACTAGAGCAGTGTAGTTAGATAGATACGACATATAGTTGTACCTATGGTTTAATGAATAAGAAATTGGCCATATATATATACAAGTGTACAGTGTTTGATACGTTAGCTTTTCCTCTTCATCCTTTCTCTATGGCCGCACGAAGGGGGGAAGGTGACCCGCACCTGCTTGACGTCACAAAACGGTTTTGCGGTATGTGCTTACTCCTATGCTGTTCAACCCTCACCTGTTGACCTTCCGGAAATATTTCTTAATTTATATATGCTAATTATAGACAAAAACATGTTCAGCTTCAATATCCCTTTTTCTTCATTTTCCCTTCCCGCTCCACTTCCCTTTATTTCCCTTCCCCTTCCCTTCTCATTAACTCTTTCTTCCCTTCCAAAAATTCTTTAAATCACTATAAAGTGAAAAACAATTTTTTAATCTAAAATTAACATATTAATTGAGATATTAAGTTTAAATTCAACCGGCCACAAGTTCAGCTGTTACACAGGTAGAACCAGAAAACTCTAAAGTATTAAGACGACTTGAACATACATTTTAAGTCTATGTAGTCCAATGAGCCTGGGACACAGTAATTGTTTAGTGTAAACAGATCCGTTTCACTTAATTAGTGATTTTGAAAGCTATTAATTTGCTTTGTAATAACATTAAACACTTGAGATTGCTATAAAGTCGTCTTCCTATTTGCTGATACTCACTGTTGCTTTCTTCTTATAATATTATTAATTCAGCTTTTTTGTGATTTTAAACTTCCTTATCTTACAGTTAAATATTATAAAGTTAGTTTAGAGATAGCAGTAAGCCAACATGGATTTTAGATTTATATTTGAATTTCTTATTTGTATTTTCTATTCTTCATGTCAAACTTCTTTAGTTAATGAAGGTGCATTTACTACTTATATTGAAAGAACAACTCTTTTTTGAGGCGTATTCAGAAGAGGGGGCTAGGGGGTCTCAGTCCCACCCTGGATATGTGAATTTTCAGGGGCCTTTTTGGCGCTGAGCCCCCCCCCCCCCTGAACGGTAACAAATTCCTGAAGACGCCCCTTGCTCTTTGTCACAGATCGTTTTAATCTATTTCATAATTTAAAAAATTATTAAATTATAAAGATTTATTCACACACAAAGATATAAATACATATATAAATGGTGTAGTTAAAATTTGTTTAAATAAATTTTTTTGAAAATATATTGTTATCATAAAGATAAAGATTTATTTTTCCCATACAAAGCTTTCCAAATTTTCACATTGGATTAGTTCTCCAAGCGTTCAGGCCAAAGCAAGCACAGAATAATGTTACTTTCTGTATGAACATTATTTCAAAATCTTTTTAAATATTCTTTTACCCTTAATATGGATATTCTCAATATGGATCCCAATAACAAAATATTTAGTTTAAAGGGACTGTACAAGTAATTTCAGGTGGCCCCCATTGAATGTGTTAAGTGCCCTTTAAACCTTTGTTTTAGCAAAAATGACGAAGTAAACCTCTGTCCTTCTTTCTATTCATTGATTACGTTTTCAGTGATTCATGGATTCCTTGCAAGTTTCAGTAGATTAAAAAGAATGAAATTATGAGAATTAAAGACATAAAGTTTTAAGGGTACCTATGTTATAGGAGTTCCAGTGAAAATGCGAAATTTCATGAGAATTTTCTTTTGTATTTTGCAAACCCTCTCGAAAAAAGTTCGCATTTTTTTCGCGAAAATGAATTTTGCGAAAGTAAGCATAAACGATGTGAAATTTTGTGAAACATTTTTTTCTAAAAAAATATCAAAATTTTCGCATTTTTTTCTTCGAACGGAATGCGTTAAAATGAGAATTTTTCTGCAAAAAATGCGAAATTTTCGCGAAACGATTTCCCCAATTTGCTAGAAACTCATAGTACTTATTTGATCTGTAAACGGAGGGTCACTTGAAAATAAGTCTACAGTCCCTTTACTATATAGATTGGAAACGTGGTGAGGTTGGAAATGTTACTCTAAGATGTCCTTCTTATGGAGTATTCTGTGAGGACCATTTTTCATCATTAGGAAATAATACAAAGTATGGAATCTATATAAATTGTTGTAAGCTTTGTTAGTTTGTCTGTCTGTTTGTACGATCATAACTCCGGAACCCCTGAACTGATTTGCCTAAAATTTTGATAGGGGAACTCGGGAGAGCAACCGAAAAGTACTTAGCTTGGTTTTGAGATTATGAGTTGAGTGATTCGATCTTAATAGCGAAAATTTAGTTTCCCGGTAAGATCATTCAAGTTCGGGTAAACGGCGGGAGTAACTTTAAGTAACCTTGGCATCGCTGGGTTCTCAGATTATTTATGTACAAAGAAAATACCCCTGGAAAATACTGTGTAGCTATCGATAGTTAAGAAGCGAATATGTAGAAATGTATCATTTTTAAATCAGAGATTATTCTTCTCGGCCAGGGAGTAAGAAATTCATTACTCCCTGTTCTCGGCGGCGCGGGGGGGGGGTGGAGCCCCCTTATACACTTCTCATTCAGTACACTTATTTAACAAACATTCCCTTCAATATAATAAAAGTTCTAATGTTTGAAATATAATAAATACTTTTGATTCCAAACTTATTAATTATTATTTCCGGCATATATAAATATTATTATTTCCATACTCATGATTTCATCTTTGAACATGTTAAATCTAAATATTTTTGCAGTTTTCCTTTTTTTATGAGAGAAATAAAAAAAAGTAATTGAGCTTTAGCCACAAACTCGGATTTCCAAACCCTTTATCTTTCCAACCCAGTGCCGTAGACCATATTTCAAACTGTGAACTCTGTTGGTTACCTGTTGAAATATCACAGGTTTAAATCATCAGGTTGCTATGAAATAGGGATTCAAAAATTTGAGTTTGTTGCAACGACTCAACTCCTTTAAATCAAAATTTCTAAGGTTCCGACTGGCCCCATGGGTTCTTGTGAATTTTTGTTTATATATGTATTTAAGTATATTTGGAAACTAAAAAACCAATAAACAAATAATTTATTAATTAAAAGGATATTTAATAATTTTGAATTTTAGAAATTGGGAGGAGTGTGCTTCTCAATGTGCAAATGACAAGGTTAACATTTTTTTAAGAACATAATTGAAAAATTTAATTTATTTATTTTTAAGACTTTTTGTATTTCATATTTATACAATTACCATTGGAGTAATCGTATTTAATGCATAAAACCTATTCTATATATACTGTGGTTGTCTTTCTGTCTGTCTGTCTGTCTGTCAAAGCGGCTAAACAGATCGGGCCCACATTTTGTGTGGGACCTCACATGACCCTGCAGGGAAGTTTTATGGATGCTCAAAATTATAAAAATTTGCGCTAAAAAGTTTTTATTTTTGTATAGCTTTATGAAATCCGCAAACATATTTTGTTTTAGTTTTATATTGTAAGAGAAGATGCTTATAGATATACCCATAATTAGGGATGTTAACGTTTTAATTTTTTTGAAAAACGATCGTTTTTTTCGTTTTTCTATCTTTTTTGTTTCGTTTTCCGATCGTTGTGAAAACTATCGTTTTTTTAAAAAGTTTTTAAAACGATTGTAATTAAAAAGATCGGAAAACTAAACAAAAAACGATAGGTAACGAAAAAAACGATCGTTTTATGATCTTTTTCAAAAACGATTAACAACCCTACCCATAATCAATAGTTGAAATAAAAGATGGGCACGAAGCTCCCTAAAAACCTAGTTATATTATAAAACATATTAGAGCAAAACTTCATCTTCTTTTTTCTTTTTTTAATAAAAACCCTTGATTATTTTTTCCCATTTTAGATAAGAAAACAGTTTTGAATCTATTTTGTATAATTTTCTGAAAGTTTTACAGAACTATATATTTCACGAATTTATGTTTTATGAAATTTCCGATATAATCAACATTTTCATAAGGATTATCTAAGGAAGTATAATTTTTCACTTATAACTTAGTCTTGCGAATTTCATTTTCTATGTACTAAAAAAATGTTGCCTTGTGTCCGACGTTTCAATATTTGTCAACACGAAATATGTAGCTTGCAAACAAATACTTTAATTTCGTTTGTTGTTCACATTGTATTTTTCATCATAAAAATGAATACATAATTAGAAAATGTTTTAGGATTGTATATTCTGGACTTGGTACATAGCTGATCATCCCATCCATCCCAATACTTGCATTCTTAGGGTATATTTACATTATATATGATCCACCCCCGGGATCAGTAAAAATTTGATTTTGCCCCCCCCCCTCTCTAGTGTGATCAACAACAAAATAGTTTTTATACAAATTCTTTCATTGTATTCATATAGATGGGACATCATATAATATTCAATTGCAGTTCTGCGGTAATTACGCTTAAAATAAAATTTTTCGTTATTCACCCACCTACCTCTACATTCCATATATCAGAAAACAACATTAAAAACTGAAAATTCATCTGATATCTACCAAGATATCAAATTGAATAATAGTGTGAATGAGAAATATTTGTTTTTCCCTTGTCTACAAGAGATTAGAATGCGTAGATCTAAAAGAGAAGAGCAGAAAACAGGTGTATGATCAGATAAAAAAAACGGTCGGATAAAAAAATCACTGCTCTTTTCAAATTTTGTCAAAACTAATTTTTAAAATTAAAAAAAAATATTCTGGGAGAAAAAAAACAGCAGTAGCGGTTGAGAGTTGAGACACAGCTCAGACTCTTTGCAGTTCAGAATAAGAAATGCCAATTTTTTTTTATAAAGAACCTGTAAAAACTTCCCCTGGGATGCTTAGAAAGATGAAAATTTCCCAGTATGATAATTGAAGGACTGCATGATTGGCGTGATTGCCATCCCTACCTCCATTAAGTGATCAGCTGATTAGTATTAAACCAGCTTTTTTCCTGCATGAAAAACTGTAAACAAATAAAACTTAAAAGTGCTTCTGACTCTACTTATATATTTTTGTTAAAAATAAAAATTCTGTTTGGTTTGGGAACCTTTTAATGCAGAATCTTTCCTACTTTTTTAAAAGGTTTTACATCGGTATGTTTGTTTAAGGTTATATAGTATATACTCGATATAAAGCAAGAATTATTAATGATCATCTTGACTTAAACTCTTTACTAAGTGAATTTAGAAAAAACATGTCGGTTTAAGAAAGTGTATAAGCAATCAACCAGATCAAAAATATTTATCAAAAGTTAAACTTTTTTAGGTTTAATGGGACGTTTTCAAAAAAATGCGAAAAAATTATTTCTGTCACCAAAACAATAAGCTGCAGTCCTTCAATTACTATACAGGAAATTTTCATCTTTCTAAACATCACAAGGAAAGTTTTATTTCTTATGTTTTTAACCAAATAAAACCAAAATATTTCATTATACTTATTTTTTGTTTCAGCCGCTGGAATTGTAAAATTCTTTTGTCCTTATGACCGCTGGAAAAGCAAGTTTTATTTTACTTTTAATTCTCTTCAACTGAAAAATAAACTCACTTTTTTATGTATCTTTCATTGTTTTCAACCGCTGAAAATACACATTTTCATAAAAAAAAATATATATACGTGAACACTTGAAAGCCAGCAGTTGAGGACAATAATATTCCCCTAAAGATTATATTCCAGACGTTGAATTAATTTTCAGTTATAGAGAAAATAATTTCTTATTATGAACTTTACGCCTTAGAGTCTTAACCAGATCTCAACCGCTCGTTCAACCATTACCGCTGAGTTTTTCTCCAAAGTATATATTAATGAAAATAATGTTGTTTAGGATGCATGTGAAGAAGAGAGGCATGTTGATTATATATCTGGACAATATGATTGCTCCACGGTGAACTAGGGTCAACTTTCATTCGAACCGGCCCGACCCCTTGCACCAGACTTATGGACGCGTAGCATGTACCCGTCCAACTTTAATGTTAAGGCCAGACTTTTGGCAGTACCCGGCGTATAGTAGTTCTATTTGACCTACCCTACTATAGCTTAGCTTAATCTGGCTCAAACTAAACTAATTGTTCACTGCACATGGTCAAATGGAATTTGCGCATTTTTAGTTTTTCCAGATTACAAATCATTTTTTGCAAAACAAAAAAGTTTTTTTTTGCATATCTTCAAATGATACAATCAACATATTTTTGCAAATGAAACATTTAATTTCATTGTTTAATATACATTATTTTCTTACAGAGACCGTAAGGGTACTTCTTATGACCCTCCATGCATAGAATTGCCCAATTCACAACTGTGCCCATATAAGCATCAAGTGTGAATTAGATACAAATGTTTATAACCTAGAAAAACGACAATATTTTCACACAAAAGAATAAATTCATAATTTTCGTGCAGATTTAGTAATAAAGTTTAAGATTTTAAGATACTTTTTTGTAAAAACATGGATTTTTATAGCGCTTAAATGTATAATGTAACCGCTGGCAATATGCTGGCAAACCAGAAAAGTGTAGAATAGGAAGACGACATTTAAGCAATATTTATGCGTATTTGTTGATACAAAGGCATTAGTTTACAAGTAGCTTTATGTTAATTATAAAGTAAAACGGTCTGTGCAGATGTTGTCTTTGATGTTTATTTAATACCATAACTTGATTCAAACAACCATCTTGCTTTTCCAGAGTTTTCTGGTTCTCACTGTAATTCTTCAAAATTATGAAAATTTAGTTATATTTCATGATAATAATTTTGTAATTAGAAATAATTTCAAATCTTTTCATAAAAGAAAAAGAAAAAAACTTTTTTTTCTTCAATTTTCCATTCTTTTGAAATTTATCTTTGAATTCAATTTTAAGAAGACTATAAGGGCAAAATGGCTTTATATTAAGAAATTTTCAAGGGGACTGTTAAGGGATCATCCCTTATATGAAGGGCATGCCCGATTCACAACTCTATCTGAGAAACAATGAGTGAGATATCGTAATTTTTTGTATATAAAAAGTATTGAATTCTCTTAATATTATTCATTTTCTCTAAAGCATAAATATGCATGTTAATTTTATGGAAAAACCATGAATTAAAAAACCAATTTTCTGTTAGAAACATAAGTGATATCTTATTCATCCTCAATCAAACAAAGGTGTAAATTGCACTAAAGGGTATTTTTTCGAAGGAGATATTCCATTTTAAATTAGGTATAAAGTCCCTTTAGGTTGTTTTAAAATCTTATTTTGATGAAATAAGATACAAATACAAAGAAATAAAAAAGTCCCAGGGCGATGTCATTTTTTTCATGTTCCCCTTTAATAAAAAACTGATTGAAATCTTACACTTTGCAAGGGTTTAGAAGTGCAACCAAATCATACATTTACACTATTTGATGCTTGTTGTCATAGTCATGGATTTCAAAAATTTTCAAATAGTAAATTAAATTGTAGTATGTGATAGTTATAATTGTAGATACACTCTAAAAAAATTTTAAATTTTAATCTAACAAAATTTGTTGGACCACCGGCATATTTTCAAATAAACTAATAAAATTGGGCCTTCATGAACCTTCATGAACCTTTATGAAACTTCATGAACCTTCATGAACCTTTATGAACCTTCATGAACCTTCATGAACCTTCATGAACCTTCATGAACCTTCATGAACCTTCATGACCCTTCACGAACCTTCATGAACCTTCATGAACGATGAACAAACAAACAAAAAGCCAAACGCGCCCATCACTACTTATGGCCTGTTGTGCAGCTATAGGTCAGCTAGAGTGTCATGGCAATAAAATTAATTTTAGAAAAACGTTCCTGAACTAATTCAATTACTGACTGAATTATTATTTATTTCTATAGTGTCCACTGTCCACAAACCTCTTTGTTTTTTTTACGACGTTCATTAGACAACCTAGTTTAAACCTAGTATAAAATTATTCAAAATTCTGACGAGAGATGTACATCCTTTTTGTGAATGAGGGTAAAGGTTGAGAAGAAAGAAAAAAACGATGGGCGAACGACTTGGATATTATTAAGATTGGTGTTTTTCCTCAGCATTACTACTGACATTTGTACCAAATATTTAGAAACATCCACTAATGAAAACTGAAAAAATCTGCGAAGTTTAGTATTGTCATTTCTTTTAAGATACTTACGACCAAGGTACTAACGCAAGGAAAATTGATCGCGGTTGCGTATACTCTGCGTACATATTCAAACCAGTTCTCTCAGGTCGAAATTTGAAACAAGAAAAGATGCATCAGTGTTCGTCTAGTATCCGAGGAGGTTAAACCCATTTAATTTTGATAATTTTGAAAATTCACATAAGAGTTTCTTATCACCAGAATATTTCATTGATTTTTTTGTGAAAATGGATTCCATGTCAGGTATTGACATCCATCTCGTGTTTACTTTTCCGCCCAAAGACATTACACTGCAGTACAAAAAATGCGTACATCTCTGAAATAACTTTCCTTGCATACGACGATGAGAAAATGGAATTAGAATAATATTATTATAAAACAGTGTCACACATTAAAGAAGGAGGGAGGCGATGCAAACTTGAGAATAAAGCCTTTTACTTTGTAGTGTTTTTTTTCTTTTTTATCTAATTTCATGCCGTCATTTACCCATTAGAAAATCAAAGAAAATAATAGAGTTACGAAACTGATTTAATCCACATATATTTAATAACAAATATCTTCCATATAATTCACTGAGGTATAATATCAAATTTCATGTTTGAGAATTAGTTTTTTATTGAAAAGTTTAGCTTCTGATGTAGTTCTAGTTCTAGTAAACTACTGTAGGAGTTCACATGTTGAACAAACCAGGAATGGTTGCTGTACTCTTATTCCCAATTTGTTTATCCTGGCCTCTTAATGTGTTCAGCAGGTTTAAATAGTTTTACATTATTGATTAAAGGGAGAGACCACCTTGACATTGTAGTTGCGGTGAGAATGCAGTATTATTGAGATATTATTTAGTAGTATTATTTAAGACCTATGAGCCATTTAAAACGGTGTAAAATACTTCAGAAAGCGCGCAAATTCAATCATTAAAATCCTCAGGGATCCTCCATTTTGGAAGGATGTTTTTGATAATCGTTTTTTTTTAATTTCTATAACGACGCCGAAAAATGTGACAAAAGTTCTACAGTAAACTAATTAGACGTTTAGGAATATATTTCTCAACAGAAATTTGTTAATAAATCAATGTCAGAATCAATCATTTCTTTATCATCCTTTCATTAAATTTCTTATTTCTTATGAATTTGTTCGCAGATTTCTTGAAATATTTACATAGAAAATGTTTCAATAAAAATTCTATGAAATCTACGGAAAATGTTTCTGAACAATGAGACATTACAGAATCCAATAACTGAATAAGATTACTTACTTTCCATGATAAAAGAGTTAACTTTTACTTTCTCAACCTGTTCCTAAACAACTAATTAGTTCCAAAATGGATGCTTCATGAAGATTTGACAGATTGAATTTGCGCTCTTGCTGAACAATTTTACACCATTAAATGTCTCATAGGTCTCAAATAAATCCTAAGAAATTTCTTTACAATACTGCATTCTCAGCTCAACTACCATGTCTAGCCAGACACTCCCTTTAAAGGGACTGAAGACTTAATTTCAAATGACTTTCCATTTATAAATGTCATGTCCTATGCACAACAATTGACTAATAAAGAAGAGATCAATGTTTTTCTGTTTAAAAATAATATATTTTTAATTTTGGTTTCTTTACTATTAATATGACAATGACTTAAATTTTTCGACAACAAAAAAGTTCGATTAGGCTATTTGGGAAATAAACATAGTTGTATTGTGATAAAGGGTGGTAGGTACAATCCCCATAAATGATGGGGCGGGGGGAAGGAATCATCGATAAATCATTTTTCTCTAAAATGCTGGTTTACCCTGGGTGGACAAATATTCGAAAATGTGCTCAGTCTCTTTTCCATAATTTCTCAACAAAATTTAAATAATAATTTTATTTAAAGTTCTATAAAACAGATTAGAATTTAAATTGAGCAAGTTCAATGATGGGAAAAATGACCTAAAAAGGATGTTTGATTTTTTAAAAAGAAATCTTAGGAAAATGGACGGGGTGGGGTATATATTTTGAGTATATTTTAAAGGTTATAACGCAAT